ATGTTATTATATTTTTAATGTACTGAGTGTAATTTAACATATTTATAATATTGTATTATATGTTTTACTGTTCTTATTTTATTTTCTTATTACATTATGTTATTATATTTTTAATGTACTGAGTGTAATTTAGCATATTTATAATATTGTATTATATTTTACTGTTCAAGGGAGGTATTACTTCCTGATAGGGAACCGTTTCGTTCTGAGAAAGAACCGTACAATAGCTTTTTGTATACTGGACTCACTCTTTTTTAAGTATTCCATAATTTTTTCCGGTTGGGATTCGTTAATTTCTGTTAAAAACATAGCCCTTTCAATAATATAGTTAGGGCAATGTACTAAAAGATGGTTTACAGTCTCTATTTCACTGGGGCATCTATTACAGAAACCAGTAGCATGAATTCCCAATCTGAGGAGATCCTGGTTAAGTCCAAGGACTCCAAAGCGGAGTCGATGAATGACGGTACGGTAGCTCTCAATCACAAACGTACACAAGGTAATACTCTCATCTTTCTGTACACAAACAGTATTGGTCTGTCAAGCCCTGTCAAGGGCCTTATATAACATATAACCTTAGATCTATATAACAAGACAAATCTATGTATTGTACAATACGGCGTCAGGGGAGAACTTGAAGGTCCTTTTAATCAGGCCAAGTACTTTGTTTGATTTGGCAGCTACTATGAACATGCTGAGAAAATCGAGGTTTGGATAGAATTAAACTCCAAGATCCTTTTCTCATCAATATTATTGACTAGTACTAATTATAGCCTCAAGTTGATACCATCATTTAGATGCATTTGGTGACAACGACCATGGTGCATAACGTGACATTTCCCATGATTGGATTTAAGCTACCATATCCTTGGCCAAGCTTGTAGTTTGTGGATGGTTCCTATTACAAGAACCATCCTCAGGATGTCTTATCGATTGCCAACACTTGGCATCATCATATTATACATGCCAAGTCTGGTTCTTATTGATTCAGATTGAGAGCTCAAACACGCTATATTGGAAGGCTTATACCAACACAGAAATGGACAAAATTCGATTTTAAGTTAGAACGCTTTTAGAACTATATCGTTTGCGTTTTACAAAAATCAGATAAAGGTAAATAATTTCTCTTTATTATTATGTCAAATACCAAAAATTCATGTCTGAGCATAGATCTCCATGGTCTGAGTCTCTTCATAGGGCTCCAATCGGCATATCAAAGAGTTTATCCGCATAGTAAATGCATTATGCAACATTCGTTTTTAATTTGACGGCTTTTAAAACTATACCGTATGACATTTTAACTAGATAATGGCGTATATCAGTGGCGGATCCAGGGGGGGGGGGCGGGCCGGCCCCCCCCCCCTGGGAAAAAAACGTGTAAAACTGAACACGAGATTATTACCTTTTTGGGGAGATGGACCTCCCCCCCCCCCCCCCTGGCGCTCAAGGGGGGGGGGGTGCAAATTTTCGAGGGCCAAAAAAAATGTGCTCACTACCCCCATTAATATGTGACTTTAAACACATTCGTTTTGAAAATCCTTGCAGAAATGTGCCTTAAATGACATTCTCTTTCACATTTTCAAGTGAAATTTTGCCATCAAATTGCTTTTTACGGTATTAAGACGTGAACAGGGTCCTTTACCATAATTATCGACTTATGAACAATCAAGTAGGGGGTTCAATTGCATTTAAATTTCGCTATAAACGCATTTTGTGCTGTTTTATATGTTTTATTAACAAAATAGAAAGGAAAAAGAAGGCAGCAATGATTGCAGTGTAAACCTCAAAAGCATCACTCTATATTTCCCACCTACACCATCATAAATACGAGTTTCAATAACTCTATGAACTGCCTAAATACTTTGACAGGTCTGACTACAGGCTACAGCCAATCAAAAGCAATTTTTCCAGTAGCTTCAATCAATTATGGCAACTTTTTATTGATCAAAGCTCAAAGGGTTCATTATGAAAAAGGGCCCGGATTTACGAATATCAGTAACAGCATGAAAAGTATACCTTAAAATTGGTTTGCTAGATTGATGGCGCAATATTAGTTTGTTGTAAAATTATTCATAAATCAACACCTGTGTTTTCAACTAATCAACATCAAAACAACAACAACGACGACCAAAGATGATGATGATTACAAATGTTTATTTTATCACTGTGCTTGCTACCATATCTTTTCAAACAGAATAATACATTGAAACCAGAAAAATACACATTATGTCGTGAGAAAAAACTTTCCTTATTTTATTGTATTTTATGTTAATAATTATACAGTCACGATCAATCTATACAAATCAAGTAAAACCACATCTGCCTGATAAATCCATAAATCTCCGTCTATAGACCATTTCAAAAATATATTCAAATGTATGCACGGTTACCTTTATATATCATTGTATCTCAATAATCCGATTGCAAATAAAATGATAGGTTGGGCAAACATGGCTTGCCTTAAAGGGCCCATGACATCGAAATACAAGTGTATTCATGTTGGTGTGCAGTCCTGCATACATCTCATATTTTGATATGTAAACTTCTGAATTGTTTCATAGATTTTGAAATATTTGTTTTTCGAACTTGCTAAGCTCCACCCCCAAAACCTCCAGATCTCATTCCCCTTGTGACATCATCTGTCAGTCATCAATGAGCTAACTTGAGAAAGTGGCATGTAACTTTGCCAAAGTTGACCACCTGTTACAATACCACAAACAATAACAACATATAAGTTGCTATGTCAGACATGTCAGACAAAACTAATATTCTAAAATAGATGTAATTTCCCCAGCTTAGCACACGTTCATAATAGAATTGCATGCTTCCATACATAATTATGTACAATACATCATCATTGCCTTTGTCTTCCTTGTGATGCTACAGCATGTCTGACATAGCAACGTGTATGTTGCTATTGTATTACGTATTGTAACAGGTGGTCGACTTCGGCAAAGATACATATCACTTTCTCAATTTAGCTCCCGGTTAGCTCATTGATGACTGACAGATGATTTCACAAAGGGAACGAGATCTGGAGGTTTTGGGGGTGGAGCTTAGCAAGTTTGAAAAAAACAAATATTTAAAAAAATATTTAAAAATCTATGAAACAAATTCAGAAGTTAATATATCAAAATATGAGATGTATGCAGGACTGCACAACAACAGGAATACACTTGTATTTCGATGTCATGGGCCCTTTAACTAACAACGCGTGATGTATGCAATACGCGTTCTCGTGAAGTGTAATTATTCGTAACAGGTGAATGAAATAATATAACGAGGCACAAGACGGATGCATTGAATTAGGAAACTGGCCTGTGCAGCGCTATACTTTACCGTTATATGGCTACAGGTAAATAAATACCTTTGTTATCGGTATGAGATGAAGTGAAAGACAGTTTTAGTCAGATTTTTAAAGATAAACATTTTCTGCTCTTTAATTAGGAATGTGTATATTTGAATTTACAGATGAAAATACATTGCACTGTCAAACTTGAACATAGGAAGATTAATACTTCCGATATTAGCATAACGATGAGAATATTAGCGCTTTGTATCTTATGGAATAGGCGCTATTTGTATAATTCAAAAACTAGTATTGTTTGTTTGTTTGATTTTATTTCTGCATTTTCAAATCAAAAATATAAATCAATAAAAAAAAAAAAAACCTTAGAAGAAGAAAAATGTTTCAAAATTGAAAGATGCATAAGACCGTCATCTATATATACATATATATATATATATATATATATATATATATATATATATATATATTGTTATGATCATTATTTAGAGATGGGAATGCAAATTCACATCATCATAAATGTAAGAATACATCTGTATCGGAATATAGTTATCCATATATCAACGTATAGATTTGAATTCATTGTCATTATCATGTGAATACATTAAGTTACAGACGTGAATACATTAACCACACGGTGAAGTCAGTTAAAAAGGAAATACAGTTTAATACTCAAAGCCATTTATATTTTTACTTGTCATGGCGTTCCCATACCAGCGGGTATTCCCCTGCATTTTTTAAATGTTACTGTCACACACATCGTATAATTTTTTTAAAGATAGAAATGCATACAAATATATGTACAAAATGTCGGTTGAAAACAAGGTATGAAAGGTATTAAATTATCTAAATTATTTTTCTCTAAAAATAGATTTAGCATAGCGTGTGCTACTTCGCTTTCACTACCAACATTGGTTATGTCTGGATTACATTTGCCCCGGGCGCCGTACGATAAATTAGTCAACGATTTTTCGTGCGATTTTAGAGGGCATCGTAGGAGGCTACGGGCTACGATGTTTGTGTTTACATTATCTACGAGCATCGCGCCATTTCTTATATTGGCCCTCCGGGGCAGTCCGGGACGAATCCGTACAGAGGCTGCTCGGAGACTGTACGCAAAACGTGCAATTTCAATGCAGTAGCCTTGCAGTCTCCGCAGCCTCCGCACGGAAATCGTACGGAGCCCGTGCAGCTTCCGTGCAAAGGTTGCGCGGAGAAGGCGCGATGACTGTGCAGCCGCCGTGCCGTTTTAAAGCGTTTGTTTCCTCCATGTTCACCTAAAAATCGTGCGTTCAAGTGCTGCACGATCAGCGTGAGTCCTCCGCGCGATGCCCATGCGGGGATTGTGCACTGACACCTACGACATGTCTACGGACTACGGGCTTACGATTTTTCAAATTTGTATAACTTTCTGCGAAACAAAATCGTAGAGGCCGCGGAGCCCGTGAATCCGTACGGAAATCTCACGGCCGCCTCCTGCCTCCGTTCAGAGGCCGCACGGAAAAGGAGGATACGGGCAGGATACGGACTCCGTAGACCTAATCGTAGGCCAAATGTAATCCAGGCATTAATCACACACGCCTTATCTCGTCACCGTCCTATTGACCCTTACAGGGTTAACAGCCAAGTTCGCAAACAAGTGCATGTATACAAAGAAAGACAATTTTGTGGGGCACGTTTTCAACCATTAGGCTTTTTCTAAACTTTTTTTTCTTCTCCCCTTTTTGTTATTTCTTTTGGCAAATCTGGCCCATGATATCATGACCCGGCCAACTCAAAACGATGACAGAATTGGGAACTGAATATAAAGGCTTGAGCCTGCGTTCAGAAGCTTCCATAATTATGTAAGTAGTATGAAACCATTTTGAATCAATTTCATGAAAAGGTCAAAGTGCTCTTGGTAACCATTTACCTCACCTGGGTGGAGTGTGGCAAATGTAGATTAACGTCTTCCCAAAGGACGCTATAGTGTTGTGGCAGTAAGTATATTGTTGAGTGGTTGCAAGGACTTGCATGACCTCATAATATATACCGGTAGCCACCGTGGGTATCTCCTGACCATTTTGAGGTACGGATGAGTCTGCACGTGGTTTTTGTTCACCTTGTGGCTTTATTGTGCCATAAATGGTTCCTATTCAAATGTTGCACCTCTGGTTTCTTTGCCAGCCACCTCATTTAGCTCACTGTCCTCTTTCACTGTGGGCTTGTAGAAACACATGGCCAGGAGATACATGCAGCACGCCGCTGCTTTGAGAGACACGGCTATGACGGTCAACCTCCAGGCCAGGTTGGCGTTGTCGTAGATCCAGCAAGAGCCCCGTGTGCCACAGACGTCCTGCCAGAGGAGGCAGGCCTGGTCTATCACGGCACCGAGCAGGATAGGACCTGGTACTGCTCCTGGAGAGAGGGAGGGATTGAGGGAGGGAGCGAGAAAGTGGGAGAGCGATGGGGGAGGGAGGGAGGGAGGGAGGAAGATCGAGGGAGAGAGAGGGAGAAAGAGAGAGACAGGGAGAGATAGAGAGAGACAGGGAGAGATAGAGAGAGAGACAGGGAGAGATAGAGGGAGATAGAGAAAGAGAGAGAGATTGTGGAGACAAAGACAGACAGATAGAGAGAGAGACGGAGAGACACAGAGAGAGGAAGAGAGACAGACATAGAAAGAGGACATACCATGGGTACATGGTATACAGAAAAAAGCCACAGATATATCATTTTTGTGTTAGATGGAGGGGGGAGAAGAAAGAGAGAAAGGAAAAGAGAAAGAGAGTGGCGGGGCGAGGTTTCGAGAAATAAAGAGTAGGGTTAAACTTTTTAACGATTGCGGCGCCGACGTTAAATTACTAGGTTACATGGTACGAATTGTTATAGAGGTCATCGAACCCAATGCCATTGACTTTCATCTGCCCATAACTAGATATTGATGACGTTTTCTCATAGGTGACGTCTACTCATAGGTGACGCCAACATTGTCTGCACTGATGTCATTCACGCATTGGACAACACTTCGGACATCATCTCTTATAGGTCAGCGCATATGCTATCTACCCCACATTCGGCTCTGAGGTTTTGTTTTATCCCGACAGTGGAATGATTATGATAACAATATCCTGTGGGAAACTTGACCTGCCTTTTAGAGATCTAAAATAATTATGCATCCCCTCCTCTTTCCCGCCTCCCCTGTCCCTGAATTCGCGCCTGATTTATTCGGGTAAACGAGTTTAAAGTATAGGCCTTACCAAGTCCGCGTGACAACATTGAGTCGACTCCAAGAGCCATTGACCGTTGAGAATCGGGCACACACCTGTCAACAAAATATTGGAGAAATTATAAAACGTAGTAAAGTGGTTTGATCCTGAGATGATAATCCACCAAATAATTTATTAATGCCATTGATTGTTTCGTTAAATGTTCTAATGAACTTGATAACGTTCCTCGCATTATTCTCCGAGAAATCCATGTCGCAGCACTTTACGTCTTTTGGCAGGACGTGAATCTACATTTGCCACTCTCTATCCAGGTGTAAATTATAGGTATATGGCAACTGCTGGGGTAACGATAATTGCAGGGCCCTCAGAAAGAACCATATTGGTGCTGATGAGGCTTCCCTGGGTAAACAAGACATATTATTATATTAATTTTTTAAGATATTATTATTATGATTACTATTATTATCATTATCATCAATGTGGTATTAGTTTTCTAAAATCATTATACGCACCTGAGGATGACATTGAGGTCGGGAATCCGGGCGAAGAAGGTGAAGAAGACGTACAGGGCAGCGACCACTGCGAAGACATATGGTTGATAGCTGCACGACGTCCGGCACAATCCCGAATCGACAGTCTGTATCGATCCTGGCTGCAGACATGCACAGTTTGAGTAGGTCTGCATGTCGTCAATGTACGAAAGCGTGGCAAAATAAGTATGATGGCGAATAGAAGGTTATAGGGAAATTGAGAAATACATCACAGGGGCGGATCCAGTTTTCTTTAAAGAGCGGTAGGGTCAAAAAGTTGTCACATTTTATGATGTCATGTGCGTATACGACTTCAGAGGGGTACAAACGTGTTTCCACTAGGCAAGGACCTATGCAACATTATCATTATAAACAGGACTCTGTGTGGCTGTGTTCATTACATTAACCCTCAACTGATTTACTAAGAGATTGAGGAATTTGACCAAAATAAGAACGAGACGAAAGAAAATATAAGAAGATAAAATCATGAAAAGTAGCAGCATCGTTTTAAGAAGACGAACTAACTTACCCCATTGCCATGGTCTGTCTCGCAGCCTGCATGGCAAGGTGTGAAATAGTTTTTATCCCCTGCACACACTGGCAGAAACTGCTCGACAGCGCAGGAGCAGTTGGAATTACAAGTTGATGTCAAGTTTGTGTTTGTGCCCGTTCCTAGACTGTAATAATTGTGAGGAATGGGTGCATTAAAAATTGGGAGGAAAATCAATTATCGGAATGTTTAAAGACATAGGTTGATATTCTAATAACACAGTATGCGTATACGATAACTATCATAGCTTGATTAGCAATGCAAAAGAAACCCATACCTATCATTTGCAATGGGTTCTATTTACTCCTCCCCCTCCCCCCCCCCCCCCCTTCTCTCTCTCTCTCTCTCTCTCCCTCTCTCTATCACACCCCTCTCTCGCTCTCTCTTTCGATTTCGCAACGCCCTTTTCATTATAGAAGTTTCAACGTTGGAACACAGTGGTATATGGTAGAAGACTGATCTGTAAGGAAAAAATCTTTTCCCCACAGATTACTGAAGGATTCGTGGGACGCCATCTTCGGCTTGCAGCAGGTAGGGAAAATGTAATGTAATGTAATGTAATAACACCAACCAGATTCTGGAGTTGCCCCCCCCCCCCCCCTGAAGAGCAGTATTAACACTCATGATGAGACTATCCCGTGTAAATACCATTCCTACTACTCCTGCTACAATACTTCTACTAAAAACACATTTCTAACGCGCGCCTAATACTACGTTTTAGGCTACATACTGTTGCTAAAGCATACACGGAGCATACACGGAGCATTATCTTTATTACTCAATCTCCGAAGGACTGCTTTAATTCTTACTTTGTCGTGTCGACGTAGGACACTGTAACACCGGCTAGTTGTTGCTGAGGACAATGCCAGAGGAAGATGAGTAATATAACTCCCGTTAGGAAGTTAGCAGCTGCAATCAACTTGAGCAAACCTCGGATATCCAGTTTGAGACGCTTCAAAACGAACCCAGCGGTCAGGGAACCGAAAACACCGCCAAAGATAGCCAGTATACCTACGAGCAGAACATGGCACAAGATTTGGATTTTTAAAGGGATCCTCTGCACTGCAACAAAATCTGTAATTTCAATAACAGTTTTAAAAGAGATATAGTGTGGTCTTCATTACAGAAATAATTGTGTGTAATACTGTGCAGTGCGTCCTAGAAAAAACGAAACCGAGAATTATCAATGTTTTATCATAACTTAGTCACATTTATAATTACTAAATGACACATATTTGGATAATTTGGATAATTATGAAAGGGCAGAAACTCAACTTTCTAGAAATGTGATTTTCTCCTTGAAATTCAGATACCGTCCGCCAAATGACTTTTTGGTTTCCTCTCTTCAAATTCATTTTAATCACTCATGCGTGAAATATGTATTATATGAGTTGCATCAAATGAAAGAGGAGGATCTAAGCTTTCCAAATATGTGTCATTTATCAATTATAAATGTGATTAAATTATGATAAAACATCGATAATTCTCGGTTTCGTTTTTTCTGGGACGCACTGTATAATCATGTAAGAATATCAGTTAAATTCTGACAGTTGTACGGCAGATGCCTTATGTTTTTATTTATGTAATTCAAAATAAGGAATGACTCGATATAGTAGACTGGTAGTACACGATTGCAAAGGCTCTCGAAAAATTTACCTGTAAGCAATTTCAAAAGCCTTGCCCATCACCTATAAGGGAGTTTACAGATAGCACATGGTACAAATGATCCCAAATATCCACAGATCTTTTACACATGGAGAAGTTCCACTTAGAATAATAAATGCCAAAGTCCTAGATGTGCTTCATGAATACCTTTTGTTTGCCCTCTTGAAAAGAATACTTCCACCTGCGTATCATAGAATGTACCGTTGGTGCATAAATGAATAATGTTACATAACTTTCATGAGCGCATATCCAGTATTCATCTCTGTGGGTTTTACCTTTTTGGTACAAATGACCTTTATCTGCCCATGCGCAGATTGTATCTGAAAACTCTCTTATTGAAATGAGCGAACGTTGCAATGCTGTATTGCGATTATATTTGCGAGCATTATTATATCGACCAGAACAATTTTTACAAAAAAATCTCCAGTAGTCCCTAGGGTAGAAAAAAAAAACATGTTAAAATCCCTCTCGCTTTGTCTCTCTGTCTGTCTCTCTCTCTCCCCCGTTAACTCTCTCTCTCTCTATCTCTCTCCGTCTCTCTTATTCTCAAGCGGAATAAATAAATTGCCCATGATGTCTCATAAAATGTACTAAATGAGTACAGACCTGTTAGAATGGTCGAGAAACCAGCCGATAAAGAAAACTGATTCTCGAAGACCTTTGGCAAGAAAGCGTTGAAGCTATTGACAAGGAGCGCATCGGTCACGCCCCCTAAACACGTGAATACAAAAGTAGGGTTGGTGAACAGGTAGCGAAGCGCCCTCCATAGGTCAGATGGACGTTCTCCAAATCCAGCTCTCGTTGTTTCCTCCGTGCCCGAGTTGGCGTGAGCTTGATTAGCTTTCTCTGCGCGGATTTTAGCTGTAGCTGTGTGGAATTATGATTAATATGAATATGTAAGTACAACAATAACTCTTCTCTGTCATGATTAGTACAAATAAAATTGTACCATGACTTATTTTCACAAGTAATGTTTAAATGTTCGTGATATCACATGATTTTCAACGAAATGCTATAGTTTCTCCATTATTTCTTGCAAACTGACCCATTCCCAAATAGCCAGGAAGAGCATATGTTTTTTTATAGTCACTAGGGCCTTATAGTGGCCACTAACAGTAACACTAATTCCTTTCCAGAAGCTACTGTACAAAGCACTGTCGGGAGATAACATGCTACCCACCACTCGGGCTGAGCATTCACAGATTTACGAACGAGCGTTCCATACTTACATCATGTAACACTGCACATATATCGTTAAGGGGCCCAGTGGGGGAATTGAATTCAGACAAGATTAAGAGTAGAGAACAGTACAACGAATCGTCTTCTTTCTCTAATAAATGAAACGGCAAAGCTTCCGCACTTCGCGCGGGAGGGGGTGGGGGAAACTAATTTCAGACTAGGATTAAGAGTCGAGAACGGTACAACGAATCGTCTTAATCTTTCTCAACTACTTCAACTACTAAGTAAATCATATTGAAATTTAAAAAAAAAAAAATACGAAATACAAACAAACATGATCACAACACATTTGTGTAGCATATACACCATTAAGAACTCAAGTCATAACGATAAACAACAATGAAAAGTTGTGTGTTATGTATCGTCTTAGAATGTAATTAGGCATTTACTTGGAAACTCTCTTGGGAAGAGACTGAGTGGTATGATCATGAGGAGGATGATGCTACCAACGATCAGGAATCCTAACCACCAAGCTCCTACCCAGCCGGGATCGGACGTTGATAACGTCACTCTAAAAAATGAAGAGAGAGAGAGAGAGGAGGTTGAGAGGGTGAAGGGGGAAGGGAGAGGGGGATGGAGAGGGGGATGGAGAGGGGGATGGAGAGGGGGATGGAGAGGGAGAGGGGGAGGGGGAATAGAGGAAGAGAGAGAGAGAGAGGGGGCGGGGGAGGAAGAGAGAGAGGAGGAAGAGAAAGCATGGGGGAGAGAGAAAGAGGGGGAGAACGAGAGGAAGAGAGAGAGAGAGATGGGGAGGGGAGAAAGAGCGGAAGAGAGAGGGAGGGAGAGAGAGAGAATTAGTCATTGCACACACTAACGTATTTGAAATAGGGATACGGGGACAACTTCTGCCCCTCCCTTCTGACATTTTTTTGACAAAAATTGTATCCACTTTGTTTATGGTAGTATAGTTAGCAGATAATAAACTCATTGAAAGTCAGTAAAGGAAACGCAAGAAATATCTTGTCCACACTTTCAATGATGGCATGCCCCCTACTCCTCACTCTCGTACACAAGTGCTACCCACCCGTGTCCATCAACCTCTGAAATGGACCCTAATGGCGTATCGCACCTTTTCTGAAATGACCATTTTTTACAGAAAACGTCGAAACCTGTGAACCTGAAAAGGTACCCTTATATTTGTTTTTGTGCAATTAGTGCTTGAAAAACGCCCCTATTTAAGGAAAACCTCGACGACGCCGAACCTCTGAAAAAGACACTTTTACTGGACGCGGGTCCGAAGCCAGCCATGTTGAGAGTGACCTCCTTGTGCCCTACCCCCACCCCTGTAGCTAAGCCACACTTTATAATCAGAGAACATACCCTTCAGGTATGCTGATCTCTGTGAAGATGTTAAGAAATGAACCCGATAAGATTAATCCAAATCCAGGCCCAAGAATGACACATGCGAAAAACGTACCTGCAAGAACAAACGGATAAAAACAAGTTAGTTGTAAGGGTAATTCTCTTCTCCTTTTCGAATTTTCATTGCTTTCTTTCCAATTTCTCTCCTTGCCCCATGACTTTTTCTTTCTTTTGTTACATACAGTATATTTCGATTCCGTTGGTAACATTATGTATAATTATATTAATCATATTCATTAACTTAAAGACAAGTTACGCGTTCACACTTTCATATTTTTTTCTTTTCATTCTGTTGACAATCTATAATCCGACGTTATAATTCGTGCATACTGTATACATCTGCCCTCTTTCTGGAATCGCATTGATATAACTTCAAGTTTTCTGTTTGTTTGCTGTCCACTGAACATATATTATATTATTATTTATCTTGGTCTCATCTCATTTAAGTCTCTCCCCCCCCCCCCCCCTCTCTCTCTCTCTCTTTCTCTCTCTCCCGGTTTCTCTGTCTTATCGTCTCCCGCTCTTTCACTGCCTCACCTCCACAACCCATTAATCTTTGTCTTTACAGTCTCCGCAAGATTTTTTTTTTTTTTTTTTTTTTTGGAGGGGGGGGGGGGGGTGATACCTTTCCCTTTCTCCCCAACATATCGCAATAAATTGATCCATGCATGGTTGTATCTCTCTCTCTCTCTCTCTCTCTCTCTCTCTCTCTCTCTCTCTCTTTCTCCTTCTCTCTCTCTCTCTCTCTCTCCACTCTGCATTTACCAAAATAAGGTCCATATGACTTGTTCGACACGGACTCGTCCATTGCTGTGAGACCTAACGTATACAAAGGCAGGGAACCAATCCCAGCTACCACTTGTGCTGCGCAGAGCAAGTAGATATAGTTTGACAGGCCCGAAGTCGAAGCCCCGCCCGGCGAATCACAGGTGTCACCCACTCTGGTTCCATTGCGATCACACGCCCCGCTGGAGGAGCTGTTACCCCCACCGGTCGCGTCCACATAGGAGTAAGGCGGGCTGGTGAAGTGGGGCAGGGCGTAGAGAATGCCGGATAGACCAATCAGAACGCAGCCCACGCCCACCCATCGGATCTTGTGACCACGCCCACCGACGTACACGGTGAAGAGCACAAAGATGATATTGGTGAAGTCGAAGACGCTGACAAGTATACCAGTGCTCTGGCTGGAGAGCCTGAAGCGACGCTCTATGGATGTGATGGAACCGGGGGTGAAACCGTTTACTATCATACCCTGTGAATGGCACAAAATAGGTGGAAGGAGAAAAAGGGGGAAGAGGGATGAGAGTGTGTGGGTGAGAGAGTGATAGAGTGAGAGAGAGAGCGAGAGAGCGAGAGAGAGAGAGAGAGAGAGAAGGAAATTGAAGGGGGAAAAGGAAAATGAGTCAGAAAGAGGGATAAATAAGGACAGGGTTAGTGTGAAGTTTGAACAGAAATGAAAGTGGTGACAAAAGCAGTAAACGAGACAAAACGAGGTACGGGGAATATTATAAAATATATTTAATAATTAATACGATACAAAATATTAATTAAAAACCTCGCAGCTCCAACATAAGACGACCCTCTGTCCTAGGATTAATAATTTAAAAATTATTGGGGCTGCAGCCCCTAAGCACCCCGCATTATTTAATAAGCGTCGCCAGAGTATTTTGAAGGGAAGGTTTGAGGGATGATGTATTAATAATAAACTACAAACTCGCTAGCAGAAACATGGCCTGGGAAGCGGGGGTGCTGCAGCACCCCCGGAAATTTTTCAGGGGGTGCACAGCACCCCTGCAATTTTTGTTGTATGATATATTTAATGTAGACTATATCATTATGCTTCGTTTACGAAATTGTCACAAAGCCGACAGCCACAAATTATGCTTTTTATTATTATTATTTTTTTAAATTTTCTTTCACAAATTCCATAATCGCTACACACGTGCGTGGTGAGAGCTAATAGTAGGGTGATCACACTGCCTGTGCAAACAGTCTGCCCCGCGAACACACACACACAATAGTAGTCAGTTGGTAGAAATAGCAATTTTTATAAATGTATTTAAAAAAACTGAACAATATTTTTGAATTTTTATTTCACATATATTTCAAGCATACCTTTAACTACAATTCTGTGTAGTTTCATTGTTATAGGCATGTGGGAAATATGTTCATTATTGAATTAGAATATTGTCTTTTCAGCCATGTGTGACATGGCCCGCTGATCGCCCATTGACTCGCGCTGCTATTCTGCGTGGTGAAAAAATGCACCTCAATGTATAAAACTCCCCTACAAAAATGCTATATCCTCACGTGTTTCACTCATTGAATCAATTTGTTGTTTACACTCAAGGTAGCCACAACTGTACTGGGATCACTTAAGTTTCTGCCACTCTGAAATTCAGTCCCTGTGGAATGTTATGGCCTGTTGAATGGTATCTCGGAAAATGGTCATAAATCCTCAAATCTGACATCTTTGAAAAAGGCAGATAATGTGATGTAGCTGAAAGTCTACAAATTCTTATCATAATATGATCGGTTTTTCTGAATGTCGAATTATGCCATTTTTGACAATTTGACCATTTCTGGCAGGTTTTTCGGTAATTTTGCTCTATATCAAAAAAATTATATAAAATCACAACGCATTGACCGATTTCGATTCAATTCTGTTTTTTGAAGCTTTCATAAAGCTTGATCATTTGCAACCACTGGCGTACTGGTGGGGGGGGGGGGGGGCTTGGGGGGCGCCAGCCCAGCCCCCCCCCCCCCCTAAAATTGTACTATGACTTATTTGCACAAGTAATGTTTAAATGTCGTGATATCACATGATTTTCAACAAAATGCTATAGTTTCTCCATTATTTCTTGCAAACTGACCCATTCCCAAATAGCCAGGAAGAGCATATGTTTTTTATAGTCACTAAGGGCCTTATAGTGGCCACTAACAGTAACACTAATTCCTTTCCAGAAGCTACTGTACAAAGCACTGTCGGGAGATAACATGCTACCCACCACTCGGGCTGAGCATTCACAGATTTACGAACGAGCGTTCCATACTTACATCATGTAACACTGCACATATAACGTTAAGGGGCCCAGTGGGGGGAATTGAATTCAGACAAGATTAAGAGTAGAGAACAGTACAACGAATCGTCTTCTTTCTCTAATAATTTAATGAAACGGCAAAGCTTTCGCGCTTCGCGCGGGAGGGGGGTGGGGGAAACTAATTTCAGACTAGGATTAAGAGTCGAGAACGGTACAACGAATCGTTTTAATCTTTCTCTAATAATTAATGAAACGCGAAAATGATTTTAGACAAGGATTAAGAGTAATAATTAAATGAAACGACAAAGCTTCCGCGCTTCGCGTGGGAGGGGGGAACTGAATTCAGACAAAGACACAATAAAACGATTCGTCTTCTTTCTCTAATAATTTAATGAAACTTGAAAGCTTCCGCGTTTCGCGCGGGATGGGCGAAAATTAATTCAGACAAGGACTAATAGTATTAATTTATTGAAACGTCAAAGCTTCCGCGCTTTGCGCGAAAGGGGGGGGGGACGGAATTCAGACAAGGATAAAGAGTCGAGAACGGTTCAACGGTACAATGAAAATGAATGAATCGTCTTCTTTCTCTATAAATTTAATGAAACGTGAAAGCTTCCGTGCTTCGCGTGGAAGGAGGGAACTGAATTCAGACAAAGACACAATAAAACGATTCGTCTTCTTTCTCTAATAATTTAATGAAACTTGAAAGCTTCCGCGTTTCGCGCGGGATGGGCGAAAATGAATTCAGACAAGGATTAATAGTATTTAATTTATTGAAACGTCAAAGCGAGTCGAGAACCGTTCAACGGGACAATGAAAATGAATGATTCGTCTTCTTTCTCTAATAATTTAATGAAACTTGAAAACTTCCGCGTTTCGCGCGGGATGGGCGAACGTGAATTCAGACAAGGGTTAAGAGTCGAGACCGGTTCAATGAATCGTCTTCTTTCTCTAATAATTAAATGAAACGTCATAGCTTCCGTGCTTCGCGCGGGAGGGGCGAAACAAGAATTAAGAATCGAGAACGGTACAACGGATCGTCTTCTTTCTCTAATAGTTTAATGAAGTGTCAAGGCTTCCGCGCTTCGCGCGGGAGGGGGAAAACTGAATTCAGACAAGGACACGATACAACGAACCGTCTTCTTTCTCTAATAATTTAATGAAACGTGAAAGCTTCAGCGCTTCGCGCGGGATGAGCGAAATGAATTCAGACGAGGATTAAGAGTAAAAATGTATTGAAACGTCAAAGCTTCCGCGCTTAGCGCGGGAGGGGGGGGGACTTAATTCAGACAAGGGTGAAGAGTCGGGACCGGTACAATGAATCGTCTTCTCTCTCTAATAATTAAATTAAACGTCATAGCTTCCGCGCTTTGCGCGGGAGTGGTGAAACAAGCTTCGAGAGTCGAGAACAGTACAACGGATCGTCTTCTTTCTCTAATCATTTAATTAAGTGTCAAAGCTTTCGCGCTTCGCGCGAGAGGGGAAAACTGAAAAATAACTTAGTTCCTGGCCCCGGGTTTAAAGGGTTAAATTTGTAGACATTTAGACATTGGCATTTTTATATTTGTCGTTAATAATATTGGTGGCTCGTTTTGTCGGTAATCGGCGGCCTCTACACCCCCCCCCCCCCCTCCCCCACTGAAAAAGATCTAGCGACGCCCCTGATAACGACACAGTTTCTACACTCGAGATCATTTTTGCAAGTACTACTGGTGAAGTACCGGAGCACCGTCTTTGTGCATTGTGCGGCATCAAAGCATAATTTATACGACGTCTCACGACGTGACAGATCACTTTTCTCTAAGTTCTAACCAATCAGAGGGCCTCTTTTTTTCCATGAAGTGCCGGTGGACATTAATGCGCCAAATGTGGTTCTCAAATTGCAAAAGATCCCTACTCTTGGAAGGGGTAGGAGAAAGCAATTTTACGTCATATTACTCCAGGAAGTGTCTGAAAATGCGTCTAATTTGGTTCTAAAATTGCAAATGCTTCTTAATCTGGGAGGGGGACAGTACCCCCTCCCAGACCCACCCCTGCTTGGTCGCTCCGCTCCCTCGCCGTTAAAAGCCTCGTTCTGTTGCTTCATCGTTTTACATATATTTTACCCCATGCCATTTTGTGCCCCCCCCCCCCGGTAAGAAATTCCTGGATCCGCCACTGATGCCCATACCCCTTGAGCTTCGGGGGCTTTGCCCCTAGACGCCACTTTGAGAAACGTAATTCAGCGGGGCCTGCATGTTAGAGTGGGGTGATTAGGATTTTTTTTGTCAGCCCCCCCCCCCCCCAACCTTTTTTGCTCATTACGCCACTGTTTGCAACCATCAAATAACATGTGTTTGTTGTAATTATTTTTGGTGTGCTATACTTACTAATAGTACATGGGTCTGGTGCCATGCAAAGCTTGCAGTATGCCAATCTATGTGTACAGTGACGATTGCAATTTTTTTTGTGTTGACAATGGAAACCAGATTGCTGAAAACTGAATTCAGACAAGGACACGATACAACGGATCGTCTTCTTTCTCTAATAAGTTAATGAAATGTGAAAGCTTCCGCGCTTCGCGCGGTAGGGGGGAAACTGAAAATTCAGACAAGAATTAAGAGTCAAAAACAGTTCAAAGAATCGTGTTCTTTCTCTAATAATTTAACGAAACGCCGAAGCTTCCGTGCTTCGCGCGGGAAGGGGGGGGGGAAGCTGCATTCGGATTAAGATTAGAGAACGATGCAACGAATCGTCTTCTTTCTCTAATAATTTAATGAAACGTGAAAGCTTCGCGCGGGATAGGCGAAATGATTTCAGACAAGGATTCAGAGTAGAAAACGGTGCTACAACGAAATTATTTATGAAATGTGAAAGCTTTCGTGCTTCGCGCCGGAGGGGGCTCAGGGGGGAGACTGAATTTAGACTAGGAATAAGAGTAGAGAACGATACCACGAATCATCTTCTTTCTCTAATTATTTAATGAAACGTGAAAGCTTCCGCGCTTCGCGCGGGAGGGGGGCAACTGAATTCAGACGAGGATATAGAGTCAAGAACGGTACAACGAAATTATGTATGAAACTTGAAAGCTTCCGCGCTTCGCGCGGGAGGGGAGAGACTGAACTCAGACAAGGAATAAGAGCCAAAAACAGTACAAAGAATCGTCTTCTTTCTCTAATAATTCAATGAAACGTCATAACTTCTGCGCTTTGCACGGGAGGGGCGAAACAAGAATTAAGAGTCGGGAACGGTACAACGAATCGTCTTCTTTCTCTAATAATTTAATGAAGTGT